TTGGAGTCTGACACATCGAAAGCATCTGTTTTTATATCTGACTCTCATAGAGGGCGCTAGTTACACGGTTCGTACCGAGTAGTTTTGAACATAAATTTTTTGTGGTTAGACTTTTCAATACAAATTTGATGTGAACTTGAACATCTTTCAATTTCAAATCAAAAAGGTACTCTTGATTAAACTCGATACTGTGTTCCGTTTTCGGAATATTTCGATTTGAAAATGATGAAGTGATAACTGTTGCTGGTATAAAGCTATGTAATAGAGCGAGTATTATGAAAAATTATCACCTATTTATTGAAAACCAAAAACAACAATACATGTCTGATGCTAAACTTATTGATTTAACAATGAATCACAAGAATTACATCGAAACAGGTTTGACTAAGAACATGGATTACACAGTTTTGTTGTATCTTGAGCAGAGAGTCTATAAGCTACATAGGTAAAGGTAAATTCACGTCGAGAGTTGTAAGACATAATTGAACATCACTTAAATGACCTTACAGCTGATTCTCAACTGTTTAGAAGAATAAAACATACTTGAGAAAATATTATAGAATCGTGTATTCGTCGAAATGTAGGACATTTTGAACACTCACTCTACTTTATTCAATATTTCATGTTTCTAGTCAAATATCTCTTAATTTTCTACTTATGATTCTTTGTTCCATCAATAACTTCAGCACAAGAATAATTTTATTGTTTTTGGATCTGAATTAATAGGTAATTGAACAAAATAAAATTCATTTTATACCAGCATCAGCTATTCGTTATTCTCAAATCGAAATATTCCGAAAACGGAACATATAGTATCGAGTTTCAACAAGAGTACCTATTTGGTATAAAATTGAATGAGGTTCAATTTCATATCATTTTTAGATTTAAAAATCTAACCTCAAAAAAGTTATGTTCAAAACTACTCGCTACGAACGGTGTAACTAGCGCCCTCTATGAGAGTCAGATATAAAAACAAATTTATGCGATGTGTCAGATTTCAAGAAACATCTGTACAAAATTTCATCACAATGTTGCCAGTAATTTCGACATAATCGTAAAAAATGTGTAAAAAAAAACTTGTATCCTGATAATAACGGCTGCCGTTACTATTTTCACTAAGGAAACCCAACTTATTTCGCAGTGTTCTACCTACACTTGCAAGGGAGTCAGGTTTTTTTGAAACACCCTGTATATACAGACATATTTCTGACACATACAGGTTGTCCCAAAATTAGCCTGCCAGACTTCACTAGCGGTTTTATATACGATCAAAAATAGGGAAATAGGTTTCAATGAACATGAGTCGAGAAATGTCTCCTAAGGGAGCTACGGCCCCCAGGAAGGGGGCTCCTGAAGATGATATTTTTTTAGTATTTCCGAAACTCCATGTGATGAAAAGATGCAATTTGGTACAAGAACGAAACTTTCCATGCCCAATGCAGTGAAAATGAAATCATTTCAAAACTTCACTCAGGAGTGTATAATACAGGGTCGGACTACATTAAATATTGCTCAAAATTTTTCTTTTGTATATTTTTCGACAATTCAATCCCGGATTATGAAAATTCACACTTCTTTACAGAAAAAAGGTACTCCTGTTCCGTAATGATAAGATGTATCATTATCGAGTGAAAGCAGTTTGAATATATTGTGACATCTCAGATATTATGCATAACATTGCAATGAACCGTAGTGGAAATGAAAAAAAAGCACAAACATTGAAGTAGTTCTTTATCATCATCTTCCTATTTTTCGCGCTTTCATGAGATTGTTTGGTGAAAAAAAGGTAGATGATTTTCTTTATAGCCACTATGATTTGAAAATTGGCAACGTTATGCATGAGATGTGAATGTATCAATATTTTTAAATCGATTTCACTCGAAAATGATACATCTGATGGATGCGGAACAAGAGCACCTTTTTTTTGTGAAACGGTGTTGATATTCATTATCCAAGATTGAATTGTCGAAAAATATGCACACAAAAAAGTTTGAGCAATATTTAATGTAGTTTCACTCTGTATTATACACTCCTGGATGAAACTTTGGAATGATTTTATTTTCACCGAATTGGGCATAGAAAGTTCAGTTCTTGGACCAAATTCGTTATCACCGATACAACAAGGCCTGCATGCTCCGTGGGTGACGTCACTTAGTGAGGCCTAACCAGCGGCTCGAAACGACAAGCGCTTATAGCGCTATAAGGCGACCGCGTATTTCGATTTTAGTTTTGGATCATCATTGAGCCAATATTGCTGTTTTTTGAAGGTCTTCCTTTTAAAAAAGGATGCCAGTCGTCAACTGAGCCCTTCTTCGCACCCCATTCGATTTTATTATGGAAAAACGAAGTTTTAAAGCAAAAACCAGGATAAAACACAAATATCCACCTACAGCAACCCATTCGAATTAAATATATTGGCAAAAATTGTGGTGAAGGTAAACTTCACACCTACTTATACAAGGCCCGCAGAACATAAACTTATCGTGAGATTGATCGAAAGAAAATTGTGGAAAATGTATTTTATTTTGATTGACATGCCGTTTGTTACAATTACCTATATTTATCTTGGAGAATTCCTATTACCTGAAAAAATAACCAGTGAGTGTTTTCAATTTTCTGTTGTTGAATCGTTACACTTGAAACCGTAATTTTTAAGGGTAAAACTGCATTTATCATGCGATGGTTTTTTTTGGAAATTTTTTTTCGGTACTCACGTATGTTTGTCTGATAAACCGAATTTTATAATGAAAATATGAACAAACCACTATTTATTGAGATATTTCAAGAAAAAGTTCGAAATTTCGCCTTCTTTCTCCCCTTGTGTTGGGGGCATTTGAAGCTACTTGCTCTTATTTTGTCATTGGACACTTTATATACTCATGATGTACTTCGATGGCACATTTTTATATAGAAAATTCAACAGGAAATATAATTTTTATGGCGAGTTTTTCATATTTAGTGAACAAGCATTCCAGATGACGACCATTTAATCCATAGTCAATCAAAATACGAGATGTCAAATGTCAATAGATTGCTTTCGAATGACATTACACACGCCATTATTTTGAATGATATTCTTCCTTCTTTTCACTAAATATGGATTAATCTCAAGAAAATAATATTTATAGTTGAATTATATATAAATTGTCCAATATGATGAAAAAAGAAGGGAAATTTGTTCTAAATGCCATCCAGAAGACTGGTGAAAAAGAAGGTGAAATTTGGAACTTTTTAGTCAAATATCTTCATGATATATGCAGTTTTACCTTTTTAAGTAGAGTGTTTGTAGTTCATGTTAATATGATAGTTGCAATTTGATCATTGGAATGAATTCTGCATTCATTGCCACGAGGCAAATGACCGTTTTCAGAAAGAAATTTGAGAATGAGAATTAAAAATGCCCGTTTATTATGAACATTCAAGAAAATTTCCTCGAATGATTTTGTTGACTATAATATACGAATACAAAACTAACTGCACAATCAAAGCTTTTCTATTTTTCCTCTATTTATACTTTTTATGAGAGAGTAATTGTCTTCTATTATTAATTCATCATTATAAATTAAGCTCTGTTTGCTACTGAACTTAGATGGAGTAAAATCCTCGCGGTGAATTACATATACCCACATTTTCGATAGCTCCTCGTCCAACGGGAAACTAAAAGCATGAACTTTTGAACCACCCACATAATTCCCCCGACAAAAGGGAATACAACACTTGAAAGGCATTGCTATTTCGCCGATCACAACACAAAATATTTCACAAAACAGTAATTTTTCCGCCAATTATTTTGATGAATAAACAACAAAAGAATTCGGGACCGTTTCAAAAACATACGTGAATCACCGATGAATTAACACGAACTGACGCGTTAGTCGACAAGCGATAAAATAAAACACTGGCCTCTCTTGGTGACGTCACGAGCTGTTTACGTCAGAGTCTGCTGGCCTTGTTGTATCGGTGGTAACGCCAAATTGCATCATTTTATCACGTGACGTTTCGGAAATATTCAACAAATATCATCTTCAGGAGCCCCCTCCCAGGGGGCCGTAGCTCCCTCAGCAGACATTTCTCGACTCATCTTCATTGAAACTTTTCTTCCTATTTTTGATCGTAGAACCCGCCGGTGAAGTTTGGCAGCCTAATTTCGGGACACCCTGTATATTGATACTAACGTTAACACATTAATAGTTATTTAACCAACTAGTGTATTAATTAGGGCGATTAATGATCGAGATATTTTAACGTGCGAGCGAAGAGAGCGCGTTAATGTTTGAGATCATTAATCGCCTTTTAATATACAAGTTGGTTACAAAATTTTTCCGTCGACTATATTTCTCATTTCTCCTGCAATGAATAAAACTTGGTTCGCGAATTCAACATTCATCCGAAAACTGCTAAAAATCACCCAGTAGCCTTGTTACTAACATTAGTGACATTTGACATTTGTCGAAATGATCAACATAAAAAATAAATTCCTTGTGTTGAAACACAGCGATTAAAATCGTGTCAGATACTTGGAAAGGCGAACCCGTCTTCGATGAAATCCATATTTTCGATGTAAATGCAGATTCCGTAAGTTATAGCATAAACAATGAATGCACGCCATGGACGTAATACGTCCATGATGCACGCGGTGTATGTTTGGTTGCCTATAAAACAATCGTGCATTGATAGACAAATTGATCGTTAATAGGTGTCATTAATGAACGTTTTCATGAACATTAAACTTACTCGTTAATACGAGGTCGACGGAAAAATCTGCAAAGAGTGGTATACTATTTGTATACTCTTGATTCTTGAAATCTAAAAGTTTCGTCTTTATTATTTCCTCGAACAAAAACCAGGATTGAAGAAGTTCCTGAACTGACAATTTTGAAATTTTCCAGGGACATTTAATTATGTGTGGCTAGCGCGTTCCGGTGTAGATGCACTGAATTCACACCTTCACAACAACTTTACTGAACCAGATCTGATCTGAGTTCAAAAGGACTACGTACCTGCTGTCTGAGAAGCCTTGATGCCACAATCTCTCACGTTTCCTTGATATTCGCCATCCATCTTTCCGTTCATTTCGTCTCTGAGAACGCTAGTATTTATTGAAAAGAGGTGCAAGCTCGAAAGAGGACTGTAGAACACCTGTAAGAAACATACATGTTGTACAGGGTGCGCCAAATTGGTCAATTTATAAGAAAACTGATGTCGATGCATGAGGGTTGATTCTCATGCAAAACTCAATGGTGAAAACCGCATATCGATATCTGCCTTCGTTTCGGAGTCACAAGGTGTTCTTCGAAAGTGGGCATTCTTGAGAAGTGGCTACAAATATATATAAAATAACTGCAAAGCATTGAGTTTGTAATAAAAATCATTCCTGAGGCACTGAAATCGACCTTCCTGTATCTTGTTCAAGAATATAACTTGTTCTTATATTCTTGAGGGAAACGTTCTATTCCGAAACTAGGTATATGGTGACTAATTTCAGTGCCTGAGGATCAATTTTCATGACAAACACAATGCTTCGGAAATGTTTTTATGGAAACGAAGAATTTTTGACAAAAAATTAGTTTCAGTCACTTTTCAAAAATCAATATTTTCCAAAAACACCTTATAACTCTGAAAGGAAGATAGATATCGATATGCAGTTTTCACCATTGAGTTTGTCAGTTATATAACTCCGTTCCTGGAAGTATAAAAAACCTCAGCATTACTTGCTTCAGGTCTGAATATAAAAATGAACTATTCAAAGCACAATAGTCTAGATATTCCTCTACTTCGGTGCCCAATGAAACTATTAAAAAAAAAATGAAGATAATCATCCCATTCCTCTAACTTTTCTCTCACTGTCTATTGTCAATCAAAAGGCTTAACACTGCAATGCTCTCCTTGGCACACTATATCAGGGTTGAGTGGATGAGCAATTTCGTAGTGAAGCCACTGTTTCTCTACAGAAAATAAACTTCGCCTTTTATTTTCAAAAATCTTTTTGGTTTATTTTTTTTTATCTATCGCTTGGAGCGCAGGAAAGGAAATCTCTATAATGTTCAAAGAACATCATGCGTTCCTAGGGAGGATAGGGACAGGAAGTAGGTATTGGAATTTTTTTTGAACTCCTGGAGATTATATGTTGTTGGGAATACTTCCTCAGGCAATGAATTCCAGAGTCTAGCCGTTCTACGGATGACGGAGTTTTGTTAAAGTGCTGTTCGACATATTTCGAGGTTGAAAACCGAAGGATGTGCTGACTGGGCTTTTCTAGTTCGTCTGACTGGTATTGCTAGTGAAGGGATGATGGCAGAGATTTCCGAAAATAGATAGAAAAGTATGGAAGGTCGCTGACCTTTCTACGGTGTTCCAATGATGTCAAAGAGTGAGTGAGTGTGGCGTCACCCACCAGGCGAATGACTCTTCTCTGGATGGAATCTAAGAGCATCAGCGTATGTTTTGGTGCTGAACCCCATATGTGGGAATAGTATTCCAGAACAGGCCGTATCTACGCTTTGTAGATCATGAGAAGCTGTTGAGGTGTAAAGTGGCTTATCGCACAGAACAAGAATACGAGTTTTTGTGAAGCAGCTTTTGCGATGGATCTGACATGATTATCCCATGAAAGAGTGTTGCTGATGGAAAAACCGAGCATAGATATGGTGGGCTTGGTGGGGATGGTGGTGCCAGACATTACAATATCGGACATACTGAGTTCCGCCTTTCTAAAGAAAATACAGGCTTGAGTTTTGGTGGCGTTGAATTCATCTAGGTTGTTGGTTCCCCAGGCTGTGATTTCAGCAAGGTCTTCATTGCCAGCTTTGACCTGCCTGCGCCGTGAGTTCTTAGTTTCCTGGGAATAAATGAGAATTCTGGAAGAGAACGCATCAGTATGGTGGGTACTATCATCTGCAAAGCTGTGGATGGGGCAAGTTGTTATACTCTCAACAGATCATTGATATGAAGAAGGAATAATATTGGTGCCAAAATTGATCCTTGTGGAACGCCGGAATTGATGCCAATGGTATCAGACGATACACCGTCCACCACCACATGAAGCCATCTGCCTGAAAGGAAACTCGATAAGAGATGGCATAGCTGAGGTGGTAAGCCGTATGATGGTAGTTTGTGGAGGAGTCCTTCGTGCCAAACACGGTCGAATGCTCTCGATATGTCCAACGCGACAGCTAGAGATTCCCCGTGTTTTTCTAATGAAGCTTGCCATAAATGGGTGACGTAGGCAAGTAGATCTCCAGTAGATCTTCGGTGGCGAAAGCCGTATTGTCTATCATTGATGATTCCTGAGCTCTCCAGATATTTGATAAGCTCAATATTGATGGCTATTGACTGCAATATGTTTTATGATATTGAGTTCTTTATTGAAATTTACTTCCGAAAGAGGGACATTTACTAGCCTGTGTATCATACTATTATATGCTGCAATTTTATGTTGATAAGGGTGTGTTGAATTATTATGAATAGTGATATCAGTGTGGGAAGGTTTATGGAAAATTGAAAAATCATGTTCATCGTTAATTTTACTTATTGTCAAATCTAAGAAATTGATTGAATTTTCAGTCTCTATTTTTGAATCTGAATTTTATGAAAAAGGAGACACATTCAACATAAGCCAACCATATATTAGAAGAAAACCATAGTTTTGATGATAATTTCGAAATTCTGCACGTAGAAAATAAAGGACTGAAACTCGATCATTTTCATTAGAAATCAACAAACTCAAAAATTTTGACATTTTACTTAATGATCAATTAGACCTCAATAGTTCACTACTGTTGAATTTGTTTTCTTAGTAAGTAATAATATGTATTTGCTATCAACTCTTTCAAGTTAATCCGGTATACCGTATTTTAAAGTAGATATATTGTGCCTAATTTCCGAAAATGGAGGTTTATCGTACCGTGCCAAACACGGTCGAATGATTTCGATATGTCCAACGCGACAGCTAGAGATTCCCCGTGTTTTTCTAATGAAGCTTGCCATAAATGGGTGACGTAGGCAAGTAGATCTCCAGTAGATCTTCGGTGGCGAAAGCCGTATTGTCTATCATTGATGATTCCTGAGCTCTCCAGATATTTGATAAGCTCAATATTGATGGCTTTCTCCATCACTTTGGAGATTACTGATAACAGAACAATGGGCCTGTAGTTGTTGGGCAGGTTCTTGTTCCCTTTTTTAGGGATTGGTTGGACTCTAGCTGTTTTCCAGCATGATGAAAAAATACCCGACCTGTACGAGACGGTAAACAACTTGCAGAGAATCGGTGTTAATTCTGGTGCACATTTTTAGAGGAGAATGGGTGGAATTCCATCAGGACCGTTAGCCTTATTCGTTTTGAGACCAAGCAAAATTTGTCTGATAGTGCGTTGACGGAAGACGATTTCGGGCATTCTACTGTCAACGGGTGGAATGTCTGGCGGCACTTTTCCTTGGGAATCTGAAGTAGAGTTTGCTGCGAATATCTCTGCAAAAATATTTGCTTTTTCCTGCGATGTTGTTGCTAATGTGTCGTCGGATTTGGACAGTGGTGAAAATGAACTATTAGTGAAATTTCTTCCGACCGCTTTAGCAAGGGACCAAAACGAACGGGAGCCATTGGGGCAATCTATGAGTTTTGATCTTATCTTGGCATTGTATGTTTCTTTCGAAGCATCTATTGTTTGGCTGCAGTTATTCCTGGCATCAACGTATTCTGCTCTAGTCGCGAGGTTAGGCTTTTTGCGCCAGCGATGGTAGGCTGTTTGTTTCAAGGCAACAGTTCTAGAACAGTTTTTGTTGAACCAGGGTTTCGATGGTGAAGATCTTTTCGAACAATGAGGTATGTATGTGTCCATTCCGAGCATGATGATCTCGGATATTTTTGCAGCACACTGTGAAGGGTCCTCAGAGTCAAAGCATTTTATTTATATTTCTATTTCTATATATGGCCCATCGCCTATACGATATGTCAACAAAAATGGGACAAAAATAATAGGTACCTTTTGAATCTATAAGGACAGAAAGGGAAGGATGAAAACAGACATATTGGTTTGACATGTTTCGTATTACTTTTTCCCTACGTCGGCATCAACGCCTATTGGTCGATTTCATTACCTATAGAGACAGAAGTTGGTCCCGCTTTGAGGGCAGTTATGCTTCATATATGAGTAGTAGATATATGAGAGGAAAGTTCTCTCTTCTTCCATCTTTCTCTTCGATGATACCAACATTGCCGCATTGAAATATAGAGAGGTCCGATAAATCTGTCTTTGTTTAACAGTTGGTGTCACTGAACTATTTTTGAAGTCAGCAGAGAGTCAAATTTTAACGATATCAACAAATTATGTCGACATAAGTATGATATAATTCGAAATTTCATTTGAAAAATTCGAAAGGCTATCAGTCAATGACATTTATGACATAGACATGTCACATCATTATAACATAGAAAATAGTTCAGTGGCGCAGAGTAGACGTTAGACAAGGACAGATTTATCGGATCTCTCTTTATTTCAATGCGGCCACGTTGGTAGCATTGAAGAGAAAGATGGAAGAGGAGAGAAGAGAGAACTCTCCTCTCTCTCTCGTTCGAGGTAGAAAAGAGCTCCATTACCTCTCTATCCTCGTCGACGACAATCCTGTCCCCGCTGGCGTGGATGCGCGGCCCCAACGCGATCCCCGCCACGTTGATGGGAGCGTCGACGGTGACGTCGTTGACCTTGAAGGTGGCCGCCGTCGGGTCGGCGCGCATGCTTGGCGCGTGCCGGATCTTCCACGAGTGGTGGTCCTTCACCGAGAACACGATGATGCCTGCAACGAGAAACACCTCAGAGTAACTTATTTCAAAAAGCGTCAATTCTATTTCAAAATGTGTCAATTGTATTTGTATTTCAGAAAGCGGCACTTGTATTTTAGAATAGTCATTTGAATTCCAGATAGCGTCAATTGTATTTCCTTTTAGGCATTTGTATTTTAGAAAGCGTCAATTGTATTTCAGAAAAGTCACTTGTATTTCAGAAAGTTTCAATTGTTTCAATTGTATTTCAGAATAGTCAATTGAATTTCAGAAAGCGTCAAATGTATTTTGGAGTAGACATTTGTATTTCAGATAGCGACAATTTTATTTCAGAATATTCATTTTGATTTAAGAAAGCATCCATTGTATTTCAGAATTATCACTTGTATTTCAGAAAGCCTCAATTGTATTTCAGAAAAGTCGCTGGTATTTCGGAGAGTTTCAATTGTATTTCAGAATAGTCAATTGTATTTCAGAAAGCGTCAATTGTATTTTTGGGTAGGCATTTGTATTTCAGGTAGCGTCAATTTTATTTCAGAATAGTCATTTGAATTTCAGAAGGCGATAATTGTATTCCAGAAAGCGTCAATTGTATTTCAGAAAAATCACTCGTATCTCTGAAAGTTTCAATCGTATTTCAGAATAGTCAATTGAATATCAGGAAGCGTCCATTGTATTTTGAAGTAGGCATTTGTATTTCAGATAATGTCAATTGTATTCCAGAACTATCCTAAAATTCAATTGATCTTTTCTGAATTTCAAATGATATTTTCTGAAATACAAATGACAAAATCTGAAATTCAATTGACCATTCTGAAAATACAATTGACGCTTTCTGAAATTGAATTGACTATTCTGAAATACAATTGATGATTTCTGGAATTCAAATGAATATTCCGAAAAACAATTGACGCTTTCTGAAATACAAGTGACATTTCCGAAATACAATTGACGCTTTCTGATATACAAGTGGAAAAGCTGTAGTTGAGAACTGTTGGAAAGCGATTTGAACGTCCTTCAAAATGATGTGCATCCTGACCTCCCATTTTATAAGAGGTTCTAAGGGTAACATCGTCCCCTTCTAGGAGGTTGAACCAAGAGGATTGAAAATATGAATCTAAAGATTCTGAAGTGTCACCCTTGATTTTTTAAATTATTTACTGGGAGGAAGATATAAAGATCGTTATATCGTAGTAAGATAGTAGATCATTTTAAGTGCCCCCCCTCTTGAAAATGAAATATTATTCACTGGAAGGAAGATATTAATTTTTACCCATGTTATGGGACAGTGGGCGTGTTGACTAATATTAAATTATTAGCATTCAATTATTCCACTGTGTTGTTAGGGACCTAACTGAATTTTTGCAACACCTCTCATCCTTTATTCATATAAATAATGAGTCTTTGCAATGCTTGAAATTGTTGAAGTTCAGAGCTCATTTCAAACGTACCGTCATTTCCGCCAATCTGCGATACGTCGAATAAATGGTGAAGTTAGTTTTCATGCTGTTTCGTTATTGGTCAGATAATATTTCATTTTCCTCTCATGAAGCAAGGTCACCAATCAAGTTATAAAAAATTTGTTAGAGCCCATTTGTTGAATGAAACATAGTAGGAGGAACCCGTGGTATCATAGTTCATTATTGACTTTTTCGAGCGACCAGCATGTCCGAATATTTCTTATACACCATAAAAAAATATCATGTAAATGTTGGAGACTTGGCAACATTGTGCTGGATGCTGTGAACTGACAAGACCACGCCCACAATTCGTGCGCCGTGTTGTCATGTTTACCCAAGCGTTTACCGGTTCAAATGTCCTCTAGTGTGAATTAATATAGTTATTATTCACACAAAAGTATTATAAGAAATACGCCACAACACATAATATGAGGAAACATTCTGAGACAATTCATTTTTTGATGCTTATTAGGGATATTACCAATACATAATTGATAATTCAGGGATTATGCAATGACGAATATTCCTGAAGTTCCCAATCGTACTGTCTGTAGGCTAATCGTGTTTCCACACCCGCGGTAAATTTCTTGCGTTGGAAAATTACCGTGGCGTTATTGATGATTTTGGCACCTTGAAATTGACCAAAACATCTTAAGAAAATATAAAATTGAGAGGTATTTGAACGCGTATTCAAGAAATAAAAAAGATAGTATACACTCGCCTATTTTTCCGCCCGCTCATGCCGTCTATCTCGGAAACGGTTGAACTTTCGACAAAACTGATAGGTATCATTTTTGTAGGTTATAAACTGTTCATCTTTTGTGCTCAAACATAAATTACCTCAGTTTTATATTTTGGTCAACAGAGAGAAGGTACCCATGAACACCTATACGGATTAAGAAAAGTCTGGGATCTATCTGAATTTATGGTTGGTACCTTCGTTCATTGGACTATTAGTGGCTACTCCAAATACAACCTGAGATGAAAAATACAGTTCACTGTGTCGGCTGCGTGCGGTACATGGACCGTATCATGAACCACATACGTATACCGTGTCCGTTAATAATAACACATGAAACTGCAATTTTTTTGTCCTCTTTGAAGCAGAAGTAATGATGTTTGCATTGTCGATCCGATAACAATCATATTCACAGTTTTGTGACATTGAATTTAGATGTTCAAAAATTCCAGAATTCACACGGGTTTTTCTGCTTAGTAATGGTCTCATTTATCTCCAGTGGTGAAATTAGGTCACCAATAGTTTCAGTGGAATATTTGATATCTTTTTTTAAAGTACCTATAAGTACTAAATTGAACTAGGATTTTTCAAAACTCAGTATCAAGACGTCAGGACTCAATTTTCAGGTCAAAATAAGTCTTTTGTCAATAATCCTTCATTACCGATTTACAGAACGATAACATTTCAAGATTATTTTATTTTTTTATTTTAAGTATGACGAGTGATAGTTAGAATATTTATATAAAGAATATATGTTTTCATCAGGTGTCAAGCCTTCTTCGCTCCATGAAATTTTTTGTGGTGCGCCGCTATTAGGTTATGAAATACGAAATAATTTGTTTTTGTCCTTCTCTGCTGACAGGTTATAAAAGGTCACTTTGCATAAATTACTTATTTCCCACGAGAAAAAAGTGAGTACTTTTTTCCCGGATGTATATATATGTAAACACTGTTAATGGCTTTTGTTGTGCTATTTCTGAAAATAAGTCAGTAACACTGTTTCCGAGAAAGAACTGCAAGTCCTTTCATCTTTCATTCCACTTCGTGGTTACGTAATAAATTACTATAAACAACCACTAAGTTCGTAATTTTTTGAAATCAAATCACAGAACTAGACTGACAGATATTTGATTACCTCAAAAGAATGATAAATATGCCTGCAACGCAGTTGTAGTTCCTGTTGAAAACTTCAAATATCACGTTGATAATTTTCTTCTTCTTTCTTTTAATATAATGCAATATCTTCCTGATATTGATTCTTCCTTTTTCCTGTGTTAGAACAAAATATTGTATTATACACGGGAAAACTATTAGATTTCAGCTCACGGCTTTTTGTCTCCCTCCGCTATGCGTCAGGAGAAAACAACCTCGAGCTGAAATCCTCTACTCTGTTCCCTTGTATAATAAATAATTATTGTTTATAAACTTTTTGTCTCTTGTGAATTCTACGCATCAGCGGAAGTTATCAAGAAAAATACATGTTTTTTGACACGTAATTTTACACTTTTCAAAACGGACAAAAGTTTTGAAACGATTTACTTTACCTGACCAGTAACACGTCAGTTTTGAATTCCTCTCATGATTTTGACTTAGATTCATGTAACATGTAACATACCATATACCTGAAACTTACCGTTTTTGAGTTATTCGCAGCCTATCGATGGAACATATACGCCATTTTGATGTGAATTACAATTTTTAGTGAAATGCTGATGTGATTGAATCGTGAAAATTGCAGGTTCGAAGGATAACTCAAACTAATTACAACTACTGAATAATTCACAGGGTGCGCAGAAAAGTGGAACATTGGAAATCTCAATTTTTGATTCAATAAGAACTCATTTTCTTCTTCTCATAATTCAATTGTATTATGAACAGGACCTCTAGTTCTGATTAATAATACCAAAACCTATAATTCGGGAGATATTCCATAAATAGTAACCGATTCTGCCTGTAATTTTGGTTATTTATAGTAGGATGTGCAAAATATCTATCAACAAATGAGTTAGATATGCATCATCTGCAAAAAGTGGGAGAGTTTTTCTGCTAAACAAACCGATTTTTTAACGCCTCGACACATACAGAGAAGTGCACAAAAACGGCCACGATTGTAACTTTTGAATTATTCTAGATAGGGTTTTGAAATTGATGGGTGGCAGGTATACCAAATTGTTCATTAAATGATGAAACCATCTCTCCCCAACTTTTGATTTTCGAATGGGACACCCTGTATTTTATTCCATAGGGATTCCGGTTAGGGATTATCATGACGAATTCAACAATACCGGGGTTCGATAGGGTTATTTCAAATGATTACATGGATATTTGCGTTAGAAGTTTTCATATGCTCAATGAGTGTGACTTCGCAATATCAAAACTCCTTTTTCTGCCACACTCGTTGATCATATGGAAACTTAGAACGCGAATATCTGCGTAATCATTTGAAATAACCCTATGAAACCCGGTATCTATGAATTCTTTATGACAATCCCTAACCGATTATGGAATACAATACAGGGTGTCTCATTTAAAAATCAAAAGTTGAGGTCATTCTCAGTAAAACCAGAAGTGATAGAACGAAAATTGTTTCGTCAATTAGTGAGCAATTTGGTATACTAGCTGCCCACCAATTTTCTAAATCCTATCTCGAATAATTCAAAAGTTACAGTTTTAGCCGTTTTTTGTGCACTTCTCTGTATATTATTATATCCTTAGAACATTAAAACTGGCTCAAATGAACATTTTCTGCTCTTCCAGCAGGACGGTACACCTCGCCTCATTATAAATGGTGAGTAGTTGAATAAGAAAAGACAAC